AGACAGGGTTTCTCTGTGGCTTTGGTTCCTGTCCTGGAACTAGCTCTATAGACCAGACTGGTCTCGAACTCACAGAGATCCTCCTACCTCTGCCTCCCGAGTGCTGGGATTAAAGGCGTGCACCACCACCGCCCGGCTCTTCTTTCTTTCTTTCTTTCTTTCTTTCTTTCTTTCTTTCTTTCTTTCTTTCTTTCTTTCCTTCTTTCCTTCTTTCTTTCTTTTTTTTCCCCCTATATTCTAAGTTATTTGTGTTAGTTGGGAATGAGACCTGTGACTATATGCTGTGTAATAAGGCAGCTACTTCTTCCAAGTCCAGCCCCCGTCAGTCTTTAGTCTTCTGACAGTCTTTCCCTCCTTTATTAAGTAAAACAGACGAATTACTGTGTTGCTTAGTGTTACCTCTCGTAAAGACCCAGAAGGCAGGAGGAAGATGATGTACAATGCAGGTAGGCAGAGTGCACTTGCCCCTGGTTATGCAGATTGACCCAGTGTGGGTTGGGAAGTTGGGTTCCTCCTTTGTCCACTAGAGGGCGCTCTTGCTCTTCCTCAGGCCTTTCTTGGCTTCTGCTACTTTAGTGCTGTATGTGAGGAAGTTTTGTTCATGTTGCCCTTTACCAAGCATGAAGAATCTATGTCCCTAGACTTCAGAGTTACAACTTAAGTGAGGAAGATGGCATGTTACCACAGGTCCATCCATGGTTTATCACTGGCTCTCCTTTTCTCTTCCTTTCTGCCCATTACATTTGTTGTTGGAAATATCCAGGGACGAGGAACAGGGCAAGCTTTCCTGCTTATTCCCAGTGCATTTGCACAAGTGAGACGCTCAGAACGCAGTCCCTCTGTGTGTTTCATTGGGTTTGTCCTCTGCCCACATTCAGCGTACTTTCCCTTTCCTTGATTTTGTTTGAGGTAAGGGAATCAGTCAGTCCCAGCACTTTATTGGGTCACGGCTCCAGAATCATGCCATGGACTGCCGCCGGGACCTTTCTCGTAGCCTGTGAAGTGGGTTGGAGCTGCTCTGCTGTGCTACAGTGATTTGATGAGCATGGGTGTGGAACACTGCTGTGTTCCTTTTCAGAAAGCTCTAGTTGCGCAGGCTCAGTCACTCAGCTTCATTGTGCTTTTGTATTGAGGCTATCCACGGATGTTTTAATTTTACTTATCCTTTGGGAATTACCTGGTTCAAAATTATGAGTAGCCGGGTGATGGTGGCTCACACCTTTAATCCCAGCACATGGGAGGCAGAGGTAGGCAGGTCTTTGTGAGTTCGAGGCCAGTCAGGTGTACAGAGCAAGTTCCAGGACAGGCTCTACAACCACACAGAGAGACCCTGTCTCCAAACAAACAAACAAACAAAAAAAAAAACAAAAACAAAGCAAAATAAAAAATAAAAAGCCCCTAAACAAATTTATGAATAAACAGTGGCAAGTGCCCCACTCCCTTCTTTTTCAGGCAGCTAGTTACCCTGTCTGGAGACAGCCAGCGTTACTGAAAGAACTGTATGGTCCATTCCGCTGGGATCGTCCACAAAACACATCCCCCCTTTAACACAAGTAATGGCCTCCCCTGCTCAAGTTGTGTTTTGCCCTCTCTCATCTCAGCTTCTTACATATTAATTCACAAAAAAGGTGATAATCCAATTTTGTGGCCATGTAGCATGGTTTACTTAACTAGATCCCTGCTGGTGGTCATTTGCATTTCCAGCCTTGTGCTAGCATGGAAGAACCAGATCAAAGGATTAGTTTCATTTTACAAAATGGCATTAAATTGCTCCCCACATAAGAGTCCCTGTTTCCCTACACTAGGTTCATTACTCTTTTCTTTGAGAGTTGGCCAGTGTTATCTCACTGTAGGATATGTGTGTTTATAAACATTTTTGATGAAGGCCATATATAGTTAGTTAATTCTCATTGCTGAGTACTATTCCTCTGTCAGTGCGCATGTGCAAGTGCACATGTTGATATATTCATGCCACTGTGTGTGTGTGTGTGTGCATGTACACACATGCACGAGCACGTGCATGTACACCCACATATATGCTCATGTGCAGAAGCCGGAGGATGATGTTGTGTGTCCTGTCTTCCTTTGAATCAGGTTTCGCACTGAAGCTGGAGCTGGACGATGGCCAGCAATTCTCAGCAGTGCTGTCTGTGCCTTCACATTTTGGCCCCTGTCACGTGACTGAGTAGTCTTTCATGCCCTGTCAGGTGACTGAGTAGTCTTTCATGCCCTGTCCCTCGTGAGCCTGGACGCCTTTCTAAATAAGCACTGGCTGTTGGGGACTGCCTTTTTAAAGAAGTACTTGTTTAAGTCTTTTCTTTTGGGTTGTCTTTTACTTAGTAACTTGAGGGATTGTCTTCTGATGTGACTCCTTTGTCAGGTGTGTGGTTTGTGACTATCTCCTACACTGAGGAAGACTTCAGGACTGGTAGTGTGGTTGAAAATGCCCGGGAGGAGTGGGGTCTACATAGCATCGTCTTGGAGGGTGTCTGTAGAAGACACATGGGAGTATGAAGAGGAGCAGCCAACCTTGACTCTGCTAAGGATGACCAGTCAGGCAAGGGAGCAGCATGAGCAGAGGCTCCAAGGTGGATGAAGCCGGCACGTTTGGGTGCACAGAGCAAGCCATGGTGTAATAGAAGGAAGAGGTGCCGGGAAGGAACAGAGATAACCCTAGCTTCTTTCACTTGCTGTGTGAGAGAGCGAGGCTGTTTATGATGTTAACTCCCAGGGACCCTGTGTGCTTGTCTTATCTTGAGAAGCTGGACCTTACTGCTCCTATTTCTTCATTCTGCAGGTGTGGTGGACACCGGCCTGTTCATCAACATGGCAGAGAGAGTCTACTTTGGGATGCAGGACGGCTCAGTGAATGTGAGGGAGAAGCCCTTCTGACCCTGCGAGGAGCGGGATGCTCACCTTGACTCTCCAGCCCAGGCACTGTGGACCTGCCTCTCCAGGAGCCTTTGCCTTAATGTACCTTTATGTAGCTGTTCCCCGTGCCAGAGTGGACAGCTGGCCCGTGGGTGGGTAGGGGGCGGTGATCAAATCCAGTCTTATGAAGTATTGCTATATGACTTTTTAAAAAAAGAAATCTAAATATATATTTTTACTATTAAAATATTCAGCTTTTTTATAAAAATAGAACTTGATTTTATGTTTTATATGAAACATTTACCAAAAACAAAAAAAAAATGTGTAAATAAAAACAGGAGATCAGGACTGTCTCTGAATGCTTTGACTCAGCCTGTTGGTTAAGCTTCTGAGGTTTTGGATTTGCTGAGAAAAACCAGCCTGGCATTTCCTTAAGCCAGCCGGCAGCATCTCCTGACGCCTTATGGAAGGAAGCCTTGTTTACTTTCTTGCCATACTTTGTTCTGTTTTGAGACTGTTTTTATTGTACCACTCCCAAATCCTAGCTGCATTTTAAGATCAGGCTGCGGAAATCTGAGTGAAACAGTGGGCTTTGGAGTGACTTGGGGTACACTCCCACGTGAGAACGCACCTTCTGGGACGCTGCTGGCTCTGCCTGGGTCCTGCAGTTGGAAGCATGAGGGAAGCTTTCGCCTGCTGGCAGTGCACAGTACGGCGTGACATGTGAAGCACTTCTTTTTGTTGTTGATGATTTTCTTTATGTTAATGTTTTGTTCTCTAATAACACGTGTATGATTTGGCATCAGAAGCCATCACCTCTTTGTGCTGTTTGAAGGCTGAAATAAACATTGTTGTGCCATTTTGACCCTTTGTTTTTACTACAGATTTTGCCTTGAAATGGGAATCCATTCTGCTCACCTAGTTTATATCAGATAGAGTGGGAGCCACTCAGGGAACTGAGACAGGCCAGGTAAATGCTTCTGTGATTATCATCTCCTTGACAAGGAGCTGTAAGGGGTGGAGACCTTTGCTGCACAGTGTTAATTTTCTCTGTCCGAGTGAGGGCAGCATAGTTGAGCACACGGCTGCTCATTCTCAGCTGCTGTATTCGACCTTTAGTCAAAGAATAAAAGAGACTGGAATTTTTTGTTTCCCTTAGTCTAGTGTTCAGATAAACTACCTAGTAAGTAGCAGACCGCTTAGAAAAAACTTTAGAGAAAGGTAGGCCATGACCAGCCCCGTGGTAGTTCTAGGTGGGCCTCCTAGGACCATTCTGTTAAACATCGCTGTGCAGTGAGCCCTGGTTCCCCTCATGCTAACTCTGCATGATATTTAGCAGTTATCACCTCAGTCTTCCTCTGCTTTGAAGTTTGAACTCTGATATATGTGTTGACATCCAAATTCCTGCTGAATCAAGTCTCAGAATAAAAGTTAATCAGGACTGACCCTTAAATGGGCATTTTCCATCCCAGTGTGCACAAACCTTTAATCCCGGCAGAGGCAGAGGCAGGTGGATCTAGCCTTGTCTACAGAGTGAGTGCCAGGATAGCCAGGGCTACACAGGGAGACCATGTCTCCATAAACAAAGGCATTCCCTTCTTGCCGAAGTTCATTTTTTGCTCTGAACGTGCTCGCTAAAGATAGTCGCTCAGGTGCTGTTATGAAGTCGGCCCTCGGAGTGCATTCATTTTCACTGGTTTGTCAGTGACCTTTGTGCAGGATGAGCTGAGAAGTTTGTGTGGTGTGGACTGAACTCATGGATAAAGATAAACAAGATTAATCGGGTTTCAGAAACACTTGTGTGCCCCACATCACATGTAAATTTCCTGTTGGCTTCACAGGCTTAGGCACATGTGACCAGACTAGGGTTTTTGAATGTTAATGTGAGGTTTTTCTTCTCTTAGAGAAAAACAAAACACCTGGTAGGCATAATAGGGCAATTTAGAGGTAAATTTTGATGAAAGATCCAATTAAAATGAGAACATTTCCATTAAATTATTAAATGTGCCTTTACAAGTGGTTTACTAAAGAAGCTAAGCCAGCGTCTGTTGATCCTGTGTGCTCTGTCTTGGGCATGTAGGGCAAGTTGGAGTTTGGATTAAAAAAATATATACATTTTAGCCAGCTGGTGGTGGCACACACCTTTAATCCCAGCACTCGGGAGGGAGGCAGAGGCAGGCGGATCTCTGTGAGTTCGAGACCAGCCTGGTCTACAAGAGCTAGTTCCAGGACAGGCTCCAAAACTACAGTAAAACCCTGTCTCGAAAAAAAAAAAAAAAAAAAAAAAAAAAAAAAAAAAAAAAAAAAAAAAAAAAAAAAAAAAAATTGAGTTTGAGCCCAGTCTGGTCTATATAGTGAGTTCCAGGACAGCCCGAGCTACATACAAAACAAAGACTGTATTTGTGTTTGTGTGAGTATGAGTGTTCCCACAGAGGTGAGAAGGTTTTGGAAACTGACCTGGAGTTATAGGTAGCTGTGAGCTGCCTGACGTGGTGTTGGGAACAGAACTTTGGTCCTCTCCAATTGCAGAGTGGTACATACTCTAATCCTGGAATCGTCAGGCCTTGAGTTTGGCTTCTGGGAAAGGTTTGTAATCAAGGCAGGCTGCTGCTGTTCTGGTAGGCATGAAAGGAAAATCATGGCGACTTGGGTAGAATTGACGCGGTTTTGGCTTCAACTAGAACTCGAAGGAAGGTGGGGATTTTCTCCTGGAACTTGTCCTGTGTGCCAGGCACTCTTTTGGAACTTTGACCTGCCATCCTTTAGTGTTCCTAAATTTTCAGGGTGAGGAAGCTCAGTTTAGGTACCTGGTTCAGGTCACACCCTGGAAAGCTGAGCAGACTTCTCTGGCTGCTGGCTGTATTGTACTTCTGGGTAGCTGTAGGGTTCTGCCTATCAGTTGTAATGAGTTGTTCAGGCCTGAAGTTAGTGAATGGTGTGTGCACATGTGTGTGCGTTTGTGGCTCGTGGCCAATACTGTTCATTTCTGTCTTGCTGAACTTTGTTTGGAAGAAAGGGAATAGAACATTGTGTGTAACCTTGTTGGAGAGTGCCACTTGTCTAGTCTGTCACAGAAGGGACACTTAACTACTGTTTCTCCCCGTTCTCTGTAAGAAATGGGGCATTGGCCTCTGTAGGCACAACTCAGGAAAGGGGATTGTGAGTTCCTTTTAGCCATAGTCAGGTCATTGTTGTGGGAAGGCTGCTTGTTCGTTCCTGGCTGCCCAGAACCAAAATAATCACATAGTAGCTGTATTAATTACAACACTGCTTGGCCTGTTAGCTTATGCATATTTCTAGCTCATTCTTACCTCTTAACCCATTTCTGTTCATTTATATTTTACTATGAGGCTTGTGGCCTACCGGCAAGGTTCTGACCAGTGGCTTGCGTCTTTCTCTTTTGGCGGCTCCATGATGTCTCCCTGACTCTGCCTCCTTTCTCCCAGCATTCAGTTTAGTTTTATCCTTGTTCTATTCTGCCTTGCTATAGGCCAAAACAGTTTTTCTATTAACCAATGGTATTTACAGCATACAGAGGGAAATCCCACATAAGTTGATTCATTGCATGAAGGGTAGCTTGCTGTGGGTAGCTTTTGGAATGTCTTGGTCTTAAGTCTCAGAGGGTCTGTGCTTGTATTTGGTCACAGTTAGTGAAGATAGAGGCTTTGCCCCAGACCACGTGCTGGTAAAAAGCAGGAGTGATGCTTTGGGCAGGGATCTCAACATTCTTTCCTACAGGGGAAAAAGAATAGAGAGAGGTTAGAGTTGTGGGCCTTGTAGAAAAGCAGCCATGATTAGCCAAGATCAGGGCTGTCTGGTTCTTTTTATGACTTTGGTGGTGGACCTGTTTTACCTGTGTTCAGATATGATTGTGGAGGGCTCTTGCTTTTCTTGTTACGATTGAAGAGTGAGTGACCTTACTAATGACCGCTGGAATTGTTTATGCTCACCAAAAGGGCTCCAGGGCTTAGGAGTGAGTGCCAGGCTCCCTGGTCACCACCCCAGGGTCTGACTGAGAGCCAGACCAGTTGTGCTAGTTCGGACAGCTTTCCTCTTCCTTGAGATCCAGACGGCTTGAACCTTGGGTTAGCAATTCTCATGCCTGTGATTAACTGGTATCGTGTGCTTGTCATGAACTGAGCACTGGTGTGGATGACTTGGGGTCTCAGAAACCCTATCTTATGACTTCAGCCTCCAGACTTCAGCGGGGCCACAACAATTTCTTGTGCCCTGAGACGCCTGGCTGCTTGCTTCCTGCCACACGTAGCAGCTGATGTGGCGAGGTTTAGGATTGCATCAGCCTTCATTCACCCAGCAATCAGATGATGTTTGGACAGGTCCAGTGTCACTGTGTTTTTTAGTAACTGGGTTGAATCACAGAATTGCAAAACACTCCAGTATAGCTAAGCAATGAATTGGTCACAAGTGGGTCTCAGCAGGTAGACGTGCAGTCACGCTTTGAGAGACAAAACAATGATTAGCTGGACTTGGGTGGAGGCATAGTCCAGGGAAGGAAGGACAGGTCTTCCTTTCAGAGGTGACTCCATTGTTCCATGGACAGTGTGTTATGCAGGTGGATGAATGAAATAAGTTCAGGTTGAAACCCCTTTTGTTATGACAGCTAATGACACACAGAGTTCTGAGTGTCAGTTATTAAACCATTTAATCCCGAATGACTGGGAGTGGGGATTAAGAGCATGGCAGTGTACAAGGTTGGACAGTGGAGGAGGAAACTGTGAGCTGAGTTGTACATGGTAGTCCTCCTCTCTCTGCCTAAATTAATTAATTAATTGAGACAGGGTTTCCCTGTATAGAACTAGCTCTAAAGACCAGGCTGGCCTTGAACTCAGAGCTCCACCTGCCTCTGCCTCTTAAGTGTTGGGTTTAAGAGGCACGTGCTGTCACTGCCTGTAAATATTGTTTATTGATGTGTATGTGTTTGTGAGTGGGTGTGTATATGTGTATTCTGATACCTGAGGAACCAAAAGAGGGTGTTAGATCCCCTGGCCTGGCTTTGCAGAAGCTGTGAGCTACTGGGATGTACATGCTGCGAACCAAACTCAGGTCCTCTGAAAGAGTAGAATGTGCTCTTAACTACTGAGCCAGCTCTTCAGCCGTGTGTGTGTGTGTGTGTGTGTGTGTGTGTTTGTGTGTTTGTGTGTGTATGGAGGTTACTAGCTGAGTCTTTATATAATTTTTTGGGGCAAGTACTGGGGATTACATCCAGGGACTTGTGCATACCAGGTAAACAGTTTATCACTGAGCCATGAATCTCTGTTTTTGGAAAAAAACAAAACTATATCTTTAGTGAGGTAAAATTATGTACTGTATAATTAATTCACCTATTTAGGCTATACAATTTAATAAGTTAAAAATATATCCTCAGAGTTTGTCAACCATCATCTTAGCTAGTAATGGAGTATTTTCATTACTTCAAAGAGACCCTGTGCCTACTAGCAGTTTCTCCCTACTTCTCCTAGTTATTTGCCCATCATCCAAGCTCTAGGAAGCTTGAATTCACCTGTCTGCCGACTTGCCTCTTTTGGACATTTCCTAGACATGGGATAATATAGTAAATAACCTCTTGTGTATTGCTGTTAGCATATTTTTGCTTTCTTAATATCAAAATATATTTTATTCTGGACACCTTCCAGATCTAATTGAAATTACAGCTGCCAAAGCAATGCAATGTAAAGCAATGCAATGTAAAGGGGGAAAAACTGCAGCAACACACACACACACAAAGTACCTGAAAAGGGTCAAAGGGTTGTGGGAACAGATCCCCCGTGATATGGAACCTAAGTACATTGTAAAGGTCATTGACATAGTCTGGGAGAGACAGCCATCTCTATCCGATGTCTTTAT